CTAAAACTAAGCCTCCTCTCTCTCTCTCTCTCTCTCTCTCTTCCTTCCTTCGCTGTGAGGGCTCCCGCGAAACACATATGGGATTCTACGAAGAAGAGGTACCAAAACGAGATACGTAGGGCATCGAAGAAAACTACCCCTAAATTGAGAAATCTCGGAAAAGCCCCCTAAAAAGCTTAAAATGACGAGATTGGCTTTGTAATTCCTCGATCCGGTAAAAGATCGAAAAGAAAGTACCGAAATATACGGATCACGGGGAATAGAACCGGATACAAATGCTTTTTGTCAAGTTTTTTTCTTTTTCTTTTTTATTTCTTTTTGTCCAAATCCATGATCCCTGATTAACAAACTTTGAAACTTTTGATCTAAAATAATGTCTCGAAGTGGGAGGTACATAACAGTTTAGTAATCCAAATCCAAATAATGTTCAGATCCAAAATTTGAGCCCAGACTGACCCGTGCGGTTCAAATTTTTAATCCTAGACGGGTCGGGTCTAGGTCCATTACCACAGCTAACGACAATCCCTAAGATGGACTGCATAAAATGGTCCCTCTTCTTAAAATGTAAAATGGATAATGTAAAAATTAATAAATTTCTCCATTTAAATTTCAATTTTTCTTTCATGATCACCATTGTTGAGGTTAGCAGTCACTGAAATTTGCAATCCGAAGTTGATCTCTAAGATGGATTTTGAAGTGGGGTCTCATATGAATAGATGAGACTGCTAACTCATGAGAACTTGATCCAAGCGTCAAAAAGAAATAAAGAACTTGCATAATCATTTCTAGGGTTGGGTTTAGGATTTAATGTCTAGAACACTACAATGCATTTCCGCCTTACATCTATAAATTTGCATATCCAAAGAGGGTATAAATCTATAAATCTGATGATCAACAAAGAATTAGAGTGATTTTAATTTTTTTTTTCAAACTTTAAAAAAAAAAAAAAAAAGAAAAGAAAAAAAAAGAAAGAAGAAGAAGAAAAAAAAAAAGAAAGTTGAAATTAGATTATTCTTTAGGTTCAAAATTTGATTTTATTTTTTCCGTAAATTCAGCATTGTGGTAGTTGAGATTATGAATGACAAATTTTTAAATCGGAAATCCATCAGATTTTGTAAAGCAAACCCATTTGAATAGGTGGGTTAGCTTACTTGCCAAAACTTTGCCCGAACTAAGTTCTGGGAAATTTGCCAAAATGCACCACATAATCTATTTAACATTTGCCAATTGCTTTTGATTTAATTTCAAAAATCCCATTAAGATGCACATATGAGTGGGAATAATTGAAAATAGATAAAATATAATTAGGGAAAAATACATGTACACCACATTTTTGTAATTATAGTTCCGAATAAGCTCTCGGGTCCATGAAAACCCCCTCATCTCGTACATCCTTTCCTCTCTCTCTCCCATCTCGTGAACCTTGCAAGTAGGTTAAAAAAGGCATACGAAATTCTATTTATACGATGGGTTAATAGAAAAAAAATAAAAAATATAATAATTTGAACATTGAAAAATACAAGGAGTAGGTTAAACATATTTTATTTATTTTTAACTTGAAGGAAGTCTATAAGCTTTCTATGCACCGAGGGGTTATGTTGGATTAACATTATAGGCCTATACCCTTTCTCATACTGTAAAAAGTCCCTATGTTAGTGCATTTTGATAAATTTCCTTTAAATTTTGTATCATAAGTCATTGAAATAGTCCCTATGTTCGTACATTTTGATAAATAGTCCTTATCTCAAAATATAATTGTCATACATTTTTTTCCAAAAAAAAAAAATGAAATAAGGACATGATTTTGTATAATTGTTATGAGAAATGATCATATAGGACTTTCTCCTATCTACGTGTGTAGGACTTCAAAGGATCACCACTAAATTTGATATGGATCTATAGAAAAGCCAAGTCCTACATCCAAGTGATAACTTTATTAGAGATCCATGCTAACTCTAATGGTGATTCTTTAGGGTCCTACACATATATGTGAAAAATAATCCTATAGGATCATTACTCAATTGTTATATGTTCTTTATATGTGAAAGATGATCCTATAGGATCATTACTCAATTGTTATATGTTCTTTTCCGATAATAGTCGTCAAGATGTGTCAAGGTCCTCGATAGAAATTTTGGACAAAAATAAAATACCACTTTGAATCTTCATTCAATAGTGTATATTGTATTGGCATTTTGTAGTCACCCTTTTTGTAGTGGGGTTATGTTGAAAAGACTGATGCACTCAAAGTACACCTTTTAGAATTTCATGTGTTGACTTCGTTATTATAGTGGGCTACCATAGAAAGTTAAATGCTGCCTCCTCCCAAGGGACATGGAAGAGTACATTTAATCCAAATATATGGAAGTCCACATCACTAGAATAGTATGCAAGAAAAATCCTTAATCAAATTATTTAATAAAAAAAAAAATTATATAAAGTTGCAACCGTATACCATAGAAGTAATGTGCACTAAAAAACCTAGTAGGAAAGAGTTATGAAGTTCCTTCTACTTGATTATCTCTAGTGTGCCACTTCTGGTTCGGGGAGTAGAATGGCAAAGAAAAGGGTGATATACTTTCAAATCCTGCTCTCGAAACCTTCGGGCTAACCCCGACCCCCAACAGTTGCATGCCGTGCATTTTAGCATCAGCCGGCAATCCTCATCCATAGGGATATAAAGGGAAAAATAATAAGTTCAAGTCCTAAAAATATCTAATAAGGTATTTAGACAATTTATTTTTTAGATTTTCAAGAGTTCATAGTTTTGCTCAATCTGGATCGTTTTTTGAAATTTTAAATTTTATAATTAGAATTGAACAGGGATTTTCAAGTCATTGTAAAGTTTCTAACTTCGAAACTATATACTTCCGTAAAATTTAGAAGAGGAAAGCATATAATGAGACCTTTTACCTTTGTTACAAGATGGTCACAATTAAGTTTGATCATTGGATGTGAAATTAGGTGGCTGCATATATTTTATTGATCAAGCTCAAAGTTCAAAAGAAACTTTGTTGAACTTTATGACACACCTAAGCTATCAGATTTCACATCGGACGGTTGTAAGTAATTGTGATCTCCCTATACTTGCCGAGGACATGATCATCTTTTTCTCCCGCTCTCGCTCTCGCTCTCTCTCATTTCAAGATTGCTATCTTGTTGAAAGCATGTTGGAAGTTACAGATATTAACAACTTCGTAGGAAAACGTACATGTGTATTAAAGACGAATTCATGCACAAGCAAAAGCACACAAATAGCATACACTGAAAAAACAGACAAACACAAAAACTTAGATTATTGCACCAGTGATGGTAATTTCTATGTAATACAAAATCTACATAAGTGGTGTAGATACTCAGCTAGAAAAGAAGTAATAGAGCATTATGGGGTATGGCCTTTTAAAGAAGGGAAATAGAAAATTCATTTCCAGATGATCCTCTTTTCCTCGATGAATATCATCATATGCCGTCAATATATGGATCGAAAGAGTGTCTTTATGATGTGCAGTTACTGGAATGTTTTTGGGCGCATCCAGCATGAGAGCATCGTCGTCAAAATCCTAGAAGCCATGGCTTCACTTCGCTTAGCACACATCAGAAATACACAAACTTGAGCAGCCTGCAGAGGGGGAAATACCTATCAAACAACTATTGGAGATTGTTTCTCTACTAAAACCAAAAATATTATTATAAGATACAATGAGATTGCTCTCTCTCTCTCTCTCTCTCATACACACTCAGACACACACATCACTTGACAATGGCCAAGCACCGCAGTTGATGAGCAATAAATCATGATCCGCACTATGAAGTTCTATAAGAGTACCAGAGCTATCAATAAATATTTCTAGGTTTTTTTTCGAAAGGTTTTAATACCAGCCAGAATTTTCGAAATTTTAAATTCCAATGTCAAAATGGAGAAAAATGCATAATTAACCAAATAATATAGGATAACAAAAATCGAAAACAAAATGACTAACAAAAATCAACCAGTGTACCATGACCCACCCAAGTCGAACCAAACCCGGGCGAGTTATTCAGACTTGCCCTATGGGTGCGGTTGAGTAACTCTACATTTTGTTATAGTATAAATAATATTATATTCAGTTTAATTCAAATAACATCTAAATGTCTTTTTGGCTAGTATTTACAGTCTATGGGCCTCATGTTTGGGGTTGGAACCGCTGCAAACACTACCGTAGTTTAATTCAAATAACATCTAAATGTCTTTTTGGATACTATTTACAGTTTATGGGCATCATGTTTGGGGTTCGAACCCCACAGACACTACCTTACCACCCTATCTTTTTTAATGCATGTCTTATTTTATTTTATCTTTTACTTTTTCTATGGGCCTCATGTTTGGGGAATGAATCCCCTCAAACACCAACGCACCACCCTATCCTTTTAAGTGCATGTCTTCCTTTTCTCTTATTTTTCTCTAAAAGGGGTTAAAAAATGATGACAATGTGGTAATTCCATCCCTCAACCTCGGCACACCAACTAACCTAGATGCTATTTTGAGCTTGTTATAAGAAAGGTTATGACATACAGATATATTTTATTTATTGGTTCGGTCCCCAAACCTCCTATAAAGAGCCCATAACATCTAACCGAGGCACCATTTGAATGTTATTGTTAACGAGAAGTATGTTCCATATATATAATATCGTTTTTATGTTTCACTTTTATTTATTTTTTAATAGGAACTGGACTCCGGCGAGTTACTCGGACTTGTTGGAGTAATTTGTTTCAGCCAATAGACGAGCACCTTGACTGTGTCGAGTCCCAATACCTTGATCTCAACTTATTAAAAGAAAAAGAATATAATGTATTGCTATCTCGATACAATAGCACAAAAATATCATGAATTGAATAACAAAACTACATGAAGGAATTTGGCAGAACTTAGCTCCTGCCACTGGAAAAAAACACTCTCTCAGTACTTAGAAAAAACATCTTTCAGTAATCTTGCTTTTGTGCTGCTTCTGAAATTTAGTTGGAGTGGGCAAGAGCGCAAAAATAGACAAAAGTAGCTTCTCCGATGACAACGGTTACCTTACTCACTTTCCTCATCACTGGTGTCTTCTTGCAAGTTCAGGTGGTTCAAGTTCTTTTCTAGTGGTGGAAGTCCATCATCAGATTCGGAATCAGATAGAACTTCATCGTTACTGGGAGGCTGCGCCTCACTGCCTGCATTTAGAAGCACCATTAGCTAGCAGTGGAAACTAAATTTATGAAAATAAAAGAAAATATAGAAATGTGAAACCGGGACATCAGTATCAGCATAAACAATTTCATAAAATGTCCATAGATCAAACGCGATGCCTAGACTTGGGCAGATTTAAAAGCTACAATGTATATTCCACAATAAAAAAAACTCCAACGTTTCAGACAAGGTACCATTATTGGTGGCACTCAAGAATTATATGTAGCATTAACAAGAAAGGAGTCAAGGAGTCACAATGAAGACATCCTGCAATATCATGAGCACAATCTCTCTGTCTCTCTGTCTCTGTCTCTGTCTCTCTCTCTCTCTCACACACACACCCCTCCATAAAAGACCTGCTGCTGAAACAATTTCATCAATTGCTGAGTTGAATGGGCTACAGGATAAAGTCTTGCTAATCCACAAGATTTGAGAAGAATCAAATGAACAGAAACAGCCCCTTCAACTATGAATATGATGCGTACTGCAGTTGAATGTCTAACAGGCATGCTAATCCTCCGACCAAAGCGATAATGAGGACCATTTATAGCCCAACTTCAAGATGTTCAATGATTGTCCTCATCCAAGATGTTCACTCTTAATATGGAGCTGCATGTCAATGATGAAGATTTTGAAGTTGAGAATCTTCTAATCTTTTGCTTCATATTTTCAGGATCCTCTACGAAAGAGTGAATCTTTTGGTTAAAGAGTCTCTTTTGAATGCAATGAGGTGGGGATAACCAAGGTACAGACATCCCCTCAAGATTCATCAACCAATTTGAACTTTAACTCTTCAAGACAGCATTTTCTATAATTTATATCTTTACAAGACCACAAGAAACCATGATTTAGTTGAGATGCAATACATGAAAGCTAATACATACCACTGGAGTCTGGCAAAGACTTTGGGATCCTTGAATTATTATGAAGCCATGAGTTTTGCGCAGCTATAATGTCTGACCCATTCGTGCATTGAGAATATGCCTTCAGAAGATCCCTGGGAGGTAGGAAGATAAACACAACAACCATTAATCATACACTGGGCGCTCAACCCATAGCAAGAAATTGCTCTGGGGAAGTATACAACGATCCAGTGGCATATGGAGAAACCATATCATGAGGCCATCACTGTCCATTGAAATCGACTATTATTGGGTGTTGGGGGGAGGAGAAGGACCAGAGAGAGAGAGAGAGAGAGAGAGAGAGAGTCATGCCCCCATTCTGGTAGGTCCCACTCTTTCTCACATCATCTCCATAGACAATGATTAGCGTTTTCCTATTGTCCATCAGATTATAGTGGACTTTCCCAAAAGTAGAGACATGCTCACTTGACACCAGAGTATAATATTCACAAGAAAAATAAGAAATGGCAAATGCCAAAATAGGAATTCAACAGAAATGCACCATACCTGTTTAGAGATAAAAAGGCATGGCCCCATTTAAATTTGCTCAGCAATAGGTTAGCCGTTTCCTCTTCCCCACTGTGTTAATAAAGACAATTTTCAGTAAATAGACCTACTACAATTAGAAAATTTAGAGAGTTTAGAAAGTATGACGAAAGGATATCAATGTGCGAAAGATGATCAACATTCACTAGGGAAAGTATTTTATAAGGGAAAGTGACATAGGCCCCCTCCTCTAAAAAATTGCCAGTTAAATAATCCCCACACCTCTTTTTTTAATGAAATGGATAATCTCCCACACTGTTTTCCAGGACATCCCACGCCCACCTTTTTAGTTTCATCTCAAAGATGCTCTTCCATAAGACTCGGGGCATTCAGTTTTTTTAGGACTATTTTACCCTTAAACAAAGTTTTAATAAACCTCAATCTCTTTCTCCAGCTCCTTCCCTTTCCCTCCTCACGGCCATCTGGTTTGCCTTCAACCCATCCAGCTCTGAGAAACCTTCACAAAAAAAACCTGCAAAAGCTGCATGATTTGTGCTTTCAAATTAAGTCATTGCCAGTCCTGTCCCTTTTGAGCATTCACAACCAGTTCTCTCTCTAAATGAACTGCCAATAATTATAAGCATCAGATTCAAAGGACAGTATCACGGCCTTCTCATAATTTAAAGCCTTTTAACTTCCCAAAAAATGGGGTCTCAAAATTTTGAGGTTCGGTATAAACCGCTTTCCTCAAGGAGTCACGCACCATAAGAATCTAGAGAGATTGGATGACCCAATTAAAAGATTTAGAAGAGAGGCGGGCGGCAGAAAGATGGGGAAGAGCGGAGAGAATGGAGAGATGGATTAGAGAAGGCGACTCAATGCGTAGTGCCCATGACAATTCGGGGGCGCGACCCCTCCCAGTTATTTACAGTTACATCTCGACTCCACTCCTATCATAGGAGTTGAGGTACAAAATATCCGACTACCAATGGAGGAACCATTATGTAGCGGTCACAGAATTAGAATATCCACTACCAATGGAAGACCCATTGCGTAGAGGCCGAAAATCACAGAATATCAGAATTCATGTAACAGAATCAGAATATCCACTACCAATGGAGGACCCATTGCGTAGTGACCAGAAGTCACCGAATATCAGTTTCATATAATAAAATCAGAATATTCACTACCAATGGAGGACCCATTGCGTAGCGGTCAAGGCGTATAACAACATCAATAAGACAGAATCACAGTTTTCAATACCAATGGAGGACCCATTGCGTAGTGGCCAGAATCAGACAGTATCAGTATCACATTGTTAACAGTATCAGATCCATATTATATCAGTATCAACATTACATGATCACATTATCAGAGTCACAGAATCTTAGTGTCGTTGTCACATTTCCTGCAATTTCAGGCAGAGACATATGGTCAAAACATGGTCATAACTCCCAATTCCTTTGGAAGTTAAAGACGGTTCCAGAACTAATTTTGCACTAGACACTCCTACCTTTCAAATGGGATTGGTTTGAAGACAAATGGGCCCCATTTGACCTCTTAAAGGTTCCAAGAGGTGAGGGCTAACTAGCTGCACCCTGCTGTGTACAGTGGACAGCGAGGTACCCTACTTCATATCACTATAACTTCCAAACCATGAGATAACATGTGACAGTTTCAAAATCAAAGTTTAAGCCAAGACGTATATCTTTCTAACAAGGTAAATTTGAAAGCATTTGGATTCCATTTGGTGGTTCAAAAGTTCGTGCCAAACAGGGTGATCTTTCTAAAATTTTATCAATACTGCCTACAGTGATATACCTTCATAGGTTGAAGAATAACTTTCAATCTAAAACGAATATCAAAATATTTTCTACATGCAAATTTTAGCCCATTCAAAGATCTTTTAAATGGTTGTGGTTTGGCCGAAAATGGACTTCGTTTGGTTAGTTAAAATCAGTGCCCACAGTAGCATCAGTGGAAAATCCAGGAAAACAGTCAACAGTGATATACTATCTCATTTTGAAACATAACTTCATTTTCATGAAGAATTTCAACAGTAGGCAAAAATGAATATTTTACTAGACTCGTATATCTTTCTAACAAGGGTGGTTTGAGGTTAATCGGACCCCATTTGATAGTTCAAGCCTCATTCAAGTACATACATAATTCTGGAATTTCACAGTGGCATATAACATGACTCAAGAATGCATTCCATAACCCTCATTTCATAGTGAGAAACATGATAACAACTACTCTCTCACAATGTGAACACATATAACATGCATTTCTTACACAATCTAAGAATCATACGTTCATTCTCAACATCTATCATTATCATAGAACAAAAGCTCCAAATTATAGTGACAAAGGCATAAGGATTTCTACATCACATACACTTCTATTGCTCATTTTACATGCATAAATTCTCATGCATCCTTATGACTACAATGCAATGGTGGTAAATCTACTTACTTGAATAACAATGGGGCCCTCTCCAATCCTCTGTTCACTCTCACCCGCCCAACAATGGCTGTCCTCCAACAGTCACTTCTTCAAACCTTGGGTCTTAAAGAGGGGAGAAATGAGAGAAGAGTGAGTGGCGTGGGTGAGAGGAGAGGCTTAAGTACTCTTATGTTTAGGGTGGTGGTCCAAGTGTCATCCAAAGACTTAAAATCTGGACAAGTAGCACTCACATCAGCATGCATCTAACAAGTGGTACTCATAATCCATGCATATCAGTAACGCAGCTGACGCTGGTCTCCTGCACACAACATAGCCGGCGCTAGTCTCTAGTCTCTGTACACAACACAGCCGGCGCTGACACTTCTTCTCCTAGATAGCCGGCGCTGCTCACAACTCAGCCGGTGCTGGCCCTTCTTCTCTTCACAGTCGGCGCTGCTCACAACTCAACCGGCGCTGGCACTTCTTCTCTTCACAGCTGGCGTTGCTCACAACTCAGCCGGCGTTGCTTACAACTTAACCGACGCTGGCCCTTCTTCTCTTCACAGCCGGCACTGCTCACAACTCAGCCGGCGCTGGCACTTCTTTTCACAGCCGGCTTCCTCATCCCGCCATGCTTCTAACTGGCCGGAAAAAGTTTGGGTCGTCACATCATCCCCCCCAAAAAGCCTTCCCAAAAAATGGGGTCTCAAAATTTTGAGGTTTGGTATAAACCGCTTTCCTCAAGGAGTCACGCACCATGAAGAATCTAGTGAGATTGGATAACCCAATTAAAAGATTTAGAAGAGAGGCGGGGGGCAGAAAGATGAACAAGAGAGGAGAGAATGGAGAGATGGATTTGAGAAGGGAGGCGGAGAGATATTAATGAGTGAGAGAATTCAGACGGAGCAAAAATCGAGAGAGAGAGAGGGAGAGATGCATTTTTGGAAGAAGTTAAAAAGACAAAAGCAACATAAAGCATTTGAATCCCCCCTATGACTCCATGGAGGAGGATCATGGAGATAAACTAAAAAGGTTAGGGGTGAGATTAAGGGGGGCATAACCCAAATGACTATGGGAAAGCCATAACCTGGTGGGTCATCACCATTGATTGAATGATGGATAGGAATGGAGAGGAAATGGGACCCAACAGAACAGGACGTGACCAAATTGTGGACCCCGATATGATTTTTTCAAAGTCCAATTAATGATAACATACTTTCCCATAGCATATAACATCACAAAGTTCTGATTCCAGATTAAATACAAATTCACTTATATAGCAGAAATCAAATAAATGATGATAGATGACCATGGGCATATCACAAATATGAACAGGATTCATGGAAAAATAGAAATCTAAATCCATTCAAAGAAAGGAACCATGAACATGGCAGTAGTACCATATTGTCAATGCAGCTGATAATGCTTCCACACAAGATAGCTCACAGGGTCGACCATAATTTACAGGATTTGCGGCCACCAACCATGGCACTGCAACAAAATTCACAACATTTAGTGAATATGCCTTTGATCACTTGCAGACCTCAACTCTAGAAACAGTGCATATAAAAGAATGAACCAACAAAAAACAGCCTTGTGCACAGCTAATGTGACATTCACTAGAAATTGCAACGTAACGATGCTCCATTTCCTTCTGAGATATTCTAAACTTGGAATCTATTGGAATCACATGACCAAACAGAAGTTCCTCAAAACATGAATAGAAATTAAAAAACAGAAGTCCCTTAAAACATGTTTGACTTGAGACAAATAATGACATAGTTCATCCAATCAAATGTTGGCAGGTACTCATGGGATAAAAATAAAATGCAAGGGATCTAGTTCTTAGGGAACTCTCAGGAAAGGAGGGAAAACCTAGAGGTCTCACTCGGTCCTTTGCATAAGGTGTCTATTTCCCAGGAGTTCCACAAGATTCTGAGGTAGGGACGTGAGGACTTAAGACTTTGAGATCCAGTTGCCCACCCTAAGGGTACTATAATCAGTTTTCTCCTGTATGTTTTCCTTTCTATTATTTTACCTTTTATAAATAGCTTTCTCCTGCTTTTGTATCATACTCCTTGGACCTACCGTTCTCTTTCTATTATATTTAAGAAAATGTTGCTTCATTTTCTTTTGTCTATTTCCATGCTAATTTCATACTATAAACATTTGTGTATGTAGAAGATAGTTTCATAATATCTAAAAATCACACGCACGCAAGCACGCACACAATGCATAAAATAATAAACATGTGTTGTATACGCATCAACATTTCATAATCCGTACAATGCCATCGATAATGGTAAGTGATAGAGAATGACATGAACCAAGAATATTTAGTTGAACTCCGTATCGAAATCCAAAACACTGTATTTTAGGGAGCACATTCAGCCAGTCACTTTTTAATTATCCAGCTGCTGCTTTTAATTATGCCACTCAGAACATGGGTGGAAAATGACATATCTAACTGATTTGACCACCAACAGTTTGAAGAAAAATATATTAAAAAAGTAAGTGAGTGAGTGCTCCCATATTTTTACTGAAAATACAAGAATATGAGCAAAGTATGTGAACAGGGCAATAGAGTTCTTACACAAACGAGGATGAGTGCAGCGGAGCTTCACAAAAGGGACATCACTCAAGCGGGCCCATGAACAATCAATAACTGCCAATCCTTTTTTCTTTATTAAGAGGCTGTCATCCCTTGAAACACATTGCTTTCCAACAGGACTGCCATAGAACAAAAATCCATATTATATACCTTTAATGGCATCATAGGAAAGGGGGTATAAAAACTCTGATAGTATGAATGAAAATAAGGTCTTTAAAAGAACTCTTTTCCAACAAAAGAAATTTCTTTTGACTAGAACAAATGACTTTGATAAAGATACTGAATTTGCTCATTACAAAAGCAACGGACATGTTATAATAAGTTTTTTATATATATGATGGTATAATAAGTTTATACCTCTTTGTCTTAATTATGGACAAATGGGGAGACGAGTGAGTTTTCAGTCACAATAGGTCTACATCAACATTGAGCCCATATCTCTATCTTAGTTATGGACGTCTTAACTAGGCACCTACAAGATGAGGTGCCATTGTCTATGGTGTTCACAAACAACATAGTTTTGCTTGATGAGACCTGAAATGGCGTCAACAAAAAATTAGAACTTTGGTGGGATACTCTTGAATCTAAAGGCTTTAAAATTAGCCAGAGTACTTTTTTCAAAAAAAGTAGCCAAACTAAGACAGAGTATATGGAATGCAAGTTTAGTATTAATAGGAGCACAAATAAAGAAGTAGTTAAGATTGATGGCCAAGAAATATCAAAACGAGCGCACTTTTGATGCCTTGGATCGATAATCCAAGAAAATTGAGAGATGGGGCGGAATGTTGGGCAGTCAAGAAACAACATAACCATAGAATAAGTGTAGCTGAGATGGATGAGTGGCAAAATAAGAACGGATAAAATTCAAAATGAATACATTTGGGAGAATTTAAGTGTGGCGTCAATAGGTGATAAAAGGGAGAAAGTAGACTTAGATCGGCTGGCCATGTGCAGCGCAGACCCAATACAACAGTTGTTAGGAGGTACGAATCAATTCAGGTGGAAGGCTCAAAAAGGGTAAGGGGTAGGCCAAAAGGACATGGTTGGAAGTAGTGAACAAAGATATGGGGACTTATGACCTCACTGAGGGTTTGGCCTTTGATGGAGCAGAATGACGGACCGAAATTTCTGTAGCCAACCCCAATTAGTTGGGAAAAGGCACTTATGATGATGATGATAGTATAATAAGTCCTTTTACTAAAATAGTGACATCAAATCCAAATAATACATAAAGTTAGCTAAGTGATAAAAATCTTGTTGAAATTATTCAATGTTTTAAAAAGTATAATGCAGAAGCAAGGCAGACATTTTACAAATATGTTGTAAATTAAAAAAACAAACTTCACCGTTAAAAAAATAGGTGAGGGGTGAAGATTCTTAATTGCATACCTGAGGACAACACCGCCAAAGCCATTGGATACGCGCAGCTCCTGCAGGGTCAGAATTAAGATAATCAGCATGTCTAGAAATTATTAAAAGAAATAACCTGCTGGCACAGACCCACTCATCACTGATAAGATTTAGGTATAGCATCAAAAAGGCTTTTTGCTAGGATAAAAGAAGAAGGGGAGGGGAAAAAAAGGTCCGAGATAAAAATATGATAATACAATACCTAGATTTTCAGTTTAAATTTACTTTATAATATTAAATTCATTCAATATATGATACATTCAATATATGATAGTATGATGCCATTTAGTTTTTTCTACCAGCAACTGAAGCTGACACCTAGGAAACTTATTCTCTCCAAAAGTTCCAAGATACAAATATAGTACCTAGATATTAATTTACATTTACTTTATACTAGTAAATTCATTCAATATATGATATATGACATCAAAAAACATAAAACATTGATCATGTGGCGACTTGGTTGGTTCAATTTATCAATTCATATGTCTATTGATATAAAAAGCTTTTTATAATGTGAAAAGATAACAGAAGAAACCATTGAATGTTTACAGTCATTTTGCTTCCTATCTAAAAATTTACCAGAATAGCTCTCATATGAGCATGTAGGGAACCATTTCTTAAGGTTTTAGGCTTTAGTTGGGAGAGCAGCAGTAAGTGTTAATGCATTAGGAACTAGGGACTTAGGTGTGGTGCTCCATTCTACACTGTACTATCACGATGGGAAGAGATTCCCCCCTTCCCAAGTAGAACACAAAACACAGCTGATTAGTGGTGTTTTGCATTACTGCTCTCATGCAAATGGGCTATGGCAAACCATACCCCATTGAATTCCAGCACAATGCCCCCTAAACTAGGCAGGGATGACTCTACTGGTGCTTTCGCAACGAAGTAAAGGAGTACAAGTGAGTGCAATTCTGCAATCATTATCTTGGTGATAAAGGTCCAAAACCATCATCCACAGCCGAAAAGAGATGCCATCTCAACTTACGTCAAAAAGATAAGAGATGCCACTTGAATATTTTCTAATAAAGGTCAATATGACCCCTATTGTAGAACAAACAAGCATGGCTTTGGGCAATCTAAAAACAATTGATTTGTTTATTATAATGCAAACACATTTAAAAGCATCTTATTAAATACTATAAAAGGAGGTCATTGTAGCAAGAACCCAGATCAAGATCCAGGATCAACGTTTCGATATTTCAAACCGGAAGGCAATTAACGTGGGAGGAGAAAGAATCATAATAAGATTCACTAAGACATAAAAGTTCACCCATATGTAAGGTAACAACAGGCTATAAAGGAACATGAACATTCCTTCAACAAACCAAATCTTGAAAGCTTGCGCCCCGTACATCTCTTAACATCGCACTGTCCAAAGTCCTGAATCAGAGTTAGATGTTAATTTCTATTCAAGTAAGAATATGTGAAGAACCAATTTAGATGCCAGGTGGTCGCATACCCACATAGCAAGCTGAATTTTTGCAACATCAGACTCCTCTTCACCTGCCACATCTTAGAAAACATAGGAGATAATGACCTCAGGTGAATAAAAGAAAAAACTCAAAAGTGGTCAATGGCAAGCTTATAATTCACATGAATTATAGTTCAAATGAAGTATAAGAATATGAAAAACTTATAAAAAGATTAGCCAGTTCTCAAGCAACATCAACTAAGTTCTGATTGCATTTTCAAAATCGACATCTTTAGGAACATTTTCATCATTCAAAAAAGGCTGGTCCATTCATCAGACTAACAATGAAATATTTAACCAAGGAAAGTTTGTATCATAAAGATGCAATCACCAATGTTAAAAAAGCAAAAATATTAAGATGAACTAGGTATAAAATAAAAATTGAAAAGAAATGGATAACAAGTACAAAAGAAAGTTTGGGAATATACAAATATTTAAGTTTAAATACTATATTTATCACATCTTTTGAGAAAAGAGGAATACCATGCGCAACTACAAAGACCATTGTCAAAGCAAATTTGATAAAAATATCATTCTTTCTCGCATATTGCTAGCTTAGCTTCACCATATACCTTGATTTGCTGGAAGGGACGTGTCACAATCTTCTTTCCTGCACAAGTATCAATTGCAAACCCAATAAATCCATAAAGATAGAATCAGTAATACTGAAACAAAAAAATTCAAAAATAAAACAATAAACTTATCCATGAGCTAAAGCATGCAAATGAGGGAATGCATTTTTTACAACACATGCAAATGAGAGAATGCATTGCCAAAAGCTAACCCGTACTGAATCATGCAACACTTACTATATTTCATGATAATGCATAAACAGCGCTTTTTTAATTGTGACTCTATGTAGTAAAAGTTCCATCATAAAGAAATTAACTCTAAGGTCAGGTCAGTTGTACTACACCATGTGAGAAAAGGGGAGCAATTCAAAATCCAATCCATAACCATGAGCCAGTATCATCAGACCTGAGACATTCAGGCCTGTTAACATAGTCCAAGTTAATTTTTTTTTTTTTAAAGTTTTACATAGTCTAAGTTAATTAGCATGCCTGTTTGTACAATCTAAGTTCTAAAAGACAAACCATACAATAAGTCCAATAAATGAAGCTCGATATGCTATTTACTAGGTGTTCATATCTTTCTCTTGGGTAATTTACTGGATGATTATTTTGCTGGTTGCTTTTTAAGTCAACACCTGCAACATAGTTATAAAGTCTGCATTTTTCACAAAGATAATTCCATAAAGAATGATTCCCAAACCGACTGATTTTTACACTAGACATCAGAAACCCATTTCCGTGTTTCTTTGGGGAACCTTTGGCAAGAAATTGGGAGATGTCACTAATTTCATCAGATTCCGAAGCAAAAAAAGATGCTTATAAAAATCTCTTCAAAGTTGCCAACCTTTAATTTATTTACTTCGGTAGTTTCCCATATATTTGGTTATTTATTTCTAGATATTTTGCCATTTTTCCGAGCTTTCAGCTGAATTCAATAATATATATATCATATCTATGAAACCAACATTCTAATGTGACCATCAATTACAGAGGGATTATTAACACAAAATAAATATGAAAAATCAAAACAAAAATAAGGGAAAAACTAAGAAGAGTCTAATCATGTGACAACGCCATTTCCACTACCCCAAAAGTGCATTATGGGAAATTATTGGGAATCATTCAAACCACGGAAACCCAGCCTGGTAGTTTCTAAAACCCTAGAACTGGAAACTTTTTGCAGGAAGAGAAGATTAAGTAATAGCTAAACAATCACATGAATTATAAAAATAAAAAGGGATTGAAATACCATTTCTGTTCCCGATTACTGCTTTGGCCTGTGTGATGGTTGGTTTTGTATTTTCTGGTTTTGTTGCGCCCCATTATAAGAGTAATTGAAGCTAATACCGGCTTTCAAATTCCAAATAGACTGAAGAAGAGTAGTTTTACAATTTATAAACGCAGTAGCCTCCCAGAGAGCATATATAGTATTGGAAAAAGTTTATATAAGGGTGAGGGCTTAAAGCGTAACTCAAAAATTCACTAGAAAAAATTAATATAGATTATAAATTAAGGAAAATTATTTCATGCGAGCTGGATCTACGCGGTCCAGAAAGTGTATCGGATGCAAGTAGGAGTTACATCTTAAAAATAGAAACTAACGGTTCAAATGTTTTTTTCCTACAAATAATATTTTTATTTTTTTAATTTTATTTATTTTTTTATATTCATGATTTTCGTGTTAGAGATTAAGTATCCTAACTCAAAAATAGATTTATTAAAAGGCCTGCATTTCTATATATGCGGGCTTAGCCGCATAAAAAATGGGTCCATAAATTAATGCATTAGAATATACTACTATCTTATTAACCTTGGACAAAAACTAATTTTAAGAATATTTATCAAAAGGTGTGGTTTGTATAAGGTTGATGTTCTAAACAATCAAAGTACGGTGTACCTTCAAACTTTCTCATGAGATGCAATTTTAGGGTAGAAAATTTTGAAGATGATTGCGAAATTCTATTTTTATCTCTAGTTATAAAAATTTCAAACTTTAAAAGTAGTTCAAATCAAGCAAATCTATAAACGCAATAAAATTGAAAAACTAGATAGCATGTTACATGATGTATTGTTTTTAAAACTTGAAACCTCTTTCTTTTTTTCCATATCTACCCATCTCAATGTCAAGATGATTGATTAGATATTTTTCCAACATCAATACAACGTCTTTCTAAGGATTTTAGAGGGTCACCTTAATTCTATTGTCAACCTTATATAAATCTTTTCTTTTATCAAAATATACATAAGAGATCAAATAACATTTTGCTTGTATTTTTTTATTTAATTTGAAAATACACATGACCGTGAGTTGGAATAGCTGGAAAACGCGGTTCAATTGCGAAAAATTAAGTTGTATTTTGATAAATTGTTAATTTGTTTTCTTATATGAATTAATTTACTTTAGATAATATTATTTTATTAGTTATTGATTACATACCTTGTAGTTTATATAATATTATTAATTATTTAACACTTTTTATGATTTTTAATTGTTTTTTAAAATGCCTTATTTCAATAAATCACTTTGAATAAAATGAAATAGATTTTCCAAAATATAAATCGTCCTTTTATCTTAAATTCTTTTTTAATTGGCATTGACAAATAATAAATAATCCATTATCATAATTAGTTTTATTGAAACAGTCAATCATCGGTGATAATGAGTACATCCAAACATGTCCCTAGTCATTTAATATTCCTGCATCTGTAGTAGACAAGGATGGATGTAAAACGAAGCATGAGAATTGGACGGTTGTGATCTCTGCTTTTCCTTATGTTTGCGTGCACCTCCGATGCACTATCTAGTGACCATGGTCTATTACGTGTACAGCCAATCAATGTAACTGCAAGGGATCTAGAGTATCGAGTGTCACCCTAATCAATGGATCAGAAATACTAACAAAGTTCCTCGTCCAAATTATTTCAAAGTGAATGTTGATGGGATTTCTTTTTAAAACCTTGGGTTCGCAGGTGGTGGAGGCATTATTGAAGTGATGTTGGTTCCTTCATTGCAGTTTTTAACAAACCTTTGAAAATAACATCAAATAACTATGCAGAGTTTCATGTCTTACAAGCACGTGTGGACCTAGCCATCCAGTTAAATTATTTTTTTTGCAAATTGAGAGTGATTCATCATTGTTGGTTAATGTAATCTATGATTGATGCAAAGCTCCATAAGCACTTAATATTGTTGCGGCAAATTGTCATTATAAGCTTTCAAGTCATGTTTGGTCCATAGCCCATATTTATCGTGAGGCCAATGTGGTGGTCAATATTATTGTCAAGAAAACCACAACTTTCTCAAATGACCTTGTTTGGCAATCAAGACCGTCCGATTTTCTTTCTCTTGCGTTACTTCATAATATGGCATCGACATTGGGAACAGGTGGGGACCGATAAATTTGTCTAATTTTAATAAACTCACCTGGTTCTGTTAGAGGACCGAGTGAGTGTGTCAAAGAATCGGATTATCCGGATTCAGGGAACATGCACATATACCTAGTATGAATGTAAGCACAAGTGTGACCATGGTTGCTTATATATTTACCACTGCACTAGATTTGGTTAAAAAGGAACACTTTTTAATCATATGAAGGGCAAGTTGCAGGTCATTGTGATTTTTTGGGCTTGTGCCGAGGAGTTGAACAAATATGGGACTCAATACTTCTTTCCGAATTTTTTAGAATATTGTTGCAATCTATCCCAAAAAACTAAATAAATAAAGAAAAACGAAAGAAAGAAAAGAAGAAAGGTTTGTTAGTTATATCCTTGAAATGTACGTTAAAATTAAAGTTTAAACAGGGTTATTTCAATTAGAAAATTCATGCTACAATAGTGACACAGGCCAAGGCATGCAACGAGTTCAAAGGTGTCTAAAGACGATTCCTCGATAACATGCAACAGGTTGCATATATGTCTGTTAAAAAGTACTACAAACCAAGTTCTTGGCAACCTCCTTCACAAGGTTGGATTAAGCTGAATTTTGACAACAGTGGCTAATCCTACTATGCCAGGAATTGGTGGTTTAATAATGTTCAAAAAAATGAATTGGTGGTTTAATCTACAATGGAAGTTAGAATATTTAATCGACATTCTCAGGGCTAATCATTTCCGGCTCGACCAATAAAGCAGAGCTGAAATCACGCAGGCGAGGAGTTTGATGTCTCTCTATTTTAAACAGGGTTATCATTGAGGGAGACTCAGCTATACCATAATAGGGTGGTGCAATTGAATCCCTAAGATCCCATGGTTGCTTCAATCATGGATGAGATATGCTTTTTCTGGAGGAACAGGGAGATGTTTTCAAACTTACAATGACAACTATCTGTGTTGATGGAACAACCTAAAGGTTGAGGTTAGGTCAGTTAACTAACACCCATGGTAGAGATGAGAGCAGGCGAATATTGGTAATAGAGCAACTCTAGAGTGTGGAGATAAAGAAGATAAAGTGGCCAATTCTGTAACTTGTTCTTGAGTGTGGACTACTATGGCACTTATGTTTTTTTTCTTGCACAACAATTTCGACGAACAGGAAAATTGTATCAATGAAAGTTAAGAATTAGGGTTTAAAAGAAATAGAAAATAAAGCTCACCTACTCAAGCAGTGTCAGATGCGGACGTGATCAAAGCTAATTCGCTTTTGCAGGGGTTTAGGATTTTTGGAAGATTGATGCACCAGCTGCATTACAGGGGGGGTTAGGAATGTAGCTATTCATGGAAGCCACCTCAATGGCACCAATTGCAAGTGTTTGATGAAATCTAGTGCTCTTCTCCACAGTTGCAGAGAACTGAATGCGAGGCAAATGAATTGGTTGGAAACCGAACCGATCACTCCCACCTTGTTGGTTCTAAATTTTGAAGCATATACCAAGTTTAGAAGTTTCTATGAAACCAATGTCTGTGTAGAGGTTCGATTTTTACCTTCAAACTCGTTTATCGGATAGTGCTAATGCCATGGTATATTAGTCATGTTGTTATTGCGATCATATGGATCATATATTTGAGACTGGATATGTAAGGCCACAATTTCTTCGCAAAATTTATATTTAGACTCCAAATAGAAGTCTTATGCCAGTTTCTTCTCAAATGCTTTATTGTATGATGCACTCCATTTGTGACCGTCCATTCCCTTTGCATGCGAAATGGATGGTAGGGTGGCCCACATGCCCATAAACACTGCACATGCCATAGAATGGAGAGGAGATGCCATGTGCCTCATACATACTATGCCACATTTGGACACATCACACCATGTTATGCTACATCCATGGCTGTCTAATCCTCTTGGAAATGCACATGGAATTAGACTCTGCTTCTGTCGATGACCATCGGTCGAAGTATGTTTTTGTGCTCCGTGGATGCATCTGTTGCAATAAGTTTACCACCCTCACAAAATCCATATGTATATATTGGGTTCAAGATTTTGTAGGTCAATTGATGAGGCTAACACGAAAAAAGTTTGAGCATTAAGACTTAGATTTTATATTTTTCTGGATCATTCATTTCTTTTCGTATTTTTCAAAGATTATTCTGTATAGTGCTTGGAGCTCCAAATTCATAAATAAGAAGCAGAAATGGATGTACAATGATTTGGGGTGTACTTTCAGTACTAAGTCCCTCGAAAGCGTGTTTGAGAATATGGATTGCTTGATTCGCCCAATACTTTTTTCAAATATTACTAATTTAGATACATTTTTATGGAAGTAGTAAGAAAAGATACGGAGACTTATAACATCACTTAGGGTATGGGGTCTTGGCTAATTGCACAAATACATCTGCCCAAAGTAATTGCACTAAATCAAGTGTATTTTAAAGAACCTTATGGTATTTTGTATTCATACAAGAGTGAGGCTCTAAATAATCAAACTAAGGCGCACCTTTAAAATTCACTAGAAGGGGTTGTTTCGATACTAAAAAACCCTCAATTCGATCATCTCGACCTCAAGATGTATGGACATGAGAAAAAGTAGATTTCAAATCTTAGAAACAATGCATCTTGTAATGTATTATATGGAACATCAATTTTCAAGTATTCATAGATCTACCCAATTTATGTTATGTTTGAATATTTAAATTTTACAATTGGATGTGAAAATAAATTTTTAGGCCATCATAAAGATTTCTGATACTAAAACAATATATTTTGATATTATTTGAAGGTGGGCTTTACTTTGATTGTTTAGAGCCTCAACTTTATACAAACCACACCCTTTTGTATCTGTCCTTCATAGGAATATAAAACACTTAAAGGTGGTTCCACTTATACGATAATTCAAGGAATAATTTTGTATTATCGTCCTTTTTTTTTTTACATTCCCATTTCAAAAATAAGGGAATTTTTACTAGGCATAATCTAAAGTTCATCAATATCGGATTAGCCACCGAATCAGTAAGGCCTGGTCTAATCAAAACTAGTCCAACTACTAGTTAA